TAGTGTAGATTCAAGTTTGTCCAAATGATGACCCCTGGGGCTAGGGTGGGGCCAAAATGGCCCACCCAAGTTTTACATAGGAATATATAGGAAAAATCTTTAAAAATCTTCTTCTCCAGAACCACTGGGCCAGGAAAGATGTAATTCATGTGGAATCATCCTCAGGTAGTGTAGATTCAAGTTTGTTCAAATCATGACCCCTGGGGCTAGGGTGGGGCCAAAATGGCCCACCCAAGTTTTACATAGGAATATATAGAAAAAATCTTTAAAAATCTTCTTCTCAAGAACCACTGGGCCAGGAAAGATGAAACTCATGTGGAATCATCCTCAGGTAGTGTAGATTCAAGTTTGTTCAAAAGATGACCCCTGGGGCTAGGATGGGGCCAAAATGGCCCACCCAAGTTTTACATAGGAATATATAGGAAAAATCTTTAAAAATCTTCTTCTCCAGACCCACTGGGCCAGGAAAGATGAAATTCATGTGGAATCATCCTCAGGTAGTGTAGATTCAAGTTTGTTCAAATCATGACCCCTGGGGCTAGGGTGGGGCCAAAATGGCCCACCCAACTTTTACATAGGAATATATAGAAAAAATCTTTAAAAATCTTCTTCTCCAGAACCACTGGGCCAGGAAAGACGAAAATCATGTGGAATCATCCTCAGGTAGTGTAGATTCAAGTTTGTTCAAATGATGACCCCTGGGGCTAGGGTGGGGCCAAAATGGCCCACCCAAGTTTTACATAGGAATATGTAGGAAAAATCTTTAAAAATCTTCTTCTCCAGACCCACTGGGCCAGGAAAGATGAAACTCATGTGGAATCATCCTCAGGTAGTGTAGATTCAAGTTTGTCCAAATGATGACCCCTGGGGCTAGGGTGGGGCCAAAATGGCCCACCCAACTTTTACATAGGAATATATAGAAAAAATCTTTAAAAATCTTATTCTCCAGAACCACTGGGCCAGGAAAGACGAAAATCATGTGGAATCATCCTCAGGTAGTGTAGATTCAAGTTTGTCCAAATGATGACCCCTGGGGCTAGGGTGGGGCCAAAATGGCCCACCCAACTTTTACATAGGAATATATAGAAAAAATCTTTAAAAATCTTCTTCTCCAGAACCACTGGGCCAGGAAAGACGAAAATCATGTGGAATCATCCTCAGGTAGTGTAGATTCAAGTTTGTCCAAATGATGACCCCTGGGGCTAGGGTGGGGCCAAAATGGCCCACCCAAGTTTTACATAGGAATATATAGGAAAAATCTTTAAAAATCTTCTTCTCCAGAACCACTGGGCCAGGAAAGATGTAATTCATGTGGAATCATCCTCAGGTAGTGTAGATTCAAGTTTGTTCAAATCATGACCCCTGGGGCTAGGGTGGGGCCAAAATGGCCCACCCAAGTTTTACATAGGAATATATAGAAAAAATCTTTAAAAATCTTCTTCTCAAGAACCACTGGGCCAGGAAAGATGAAACTCATGTGGAATCATCCTCAGGTAGTGTAGATTCAAGTTTGTTCAAAAGATGACCCCTGGGGCTAGGATGGGGCCAAAATGGCCGACCCAAGTTTTACATAGGAATATATAGGAAAAATCTTTAAAAATCTTCTTCTCCAGACCCACTGGGCCAGGAAAGATGAAACTCATGTGGAATCATCCTCAGGTAGTGTAGATTCAAACTTGTTCAAATGATGATCCCCGGGCTAGGGTGGGGCCAAAATGGCCGACCCAAGTTTAACATAGGAATATGTAGGAAAAATCTTTAAAAATCTTCTTCTCCAGAACCACTGGGCCAGGAAAGTGTTATTTATATGGAATCATCCTCAGATAGTGTAGATTCTAGTTTGCTTAAATGATGAACGCCCTGGGGGGGGGGGGGGGGGGTTAAATTCAAGCCCGATGTGCTCAGGTGAGCGCTGTGGCCCCTGGGCCTCTTGTTTCTGTTTATCCTCTCTAAGAAACCATTGCCAAAAGGTACGTTAGCCGTTCATTTTTTCATAATGACAACATTGATGTTTTTTAACGAATTGAATTAAACTGACAGAATGAAATTTACCGGTACAATCTTAAGAATTCAATGACTTAAACGAAATTTCAGGATGTCTTTCTTTGACCAAATAATCTAGCTAAGTTTAATTTCATTTCCTCGGATGCGATTACATTTACATGCATTACGCTGTGATTAACATTCAGCTCAGCAATTTGAAAATAAATCTTCACAGTGACTGCAGTTTTCATTGAAACTATACATAATTTACGATTCATATGTCTTCAAAAACATTGGATAGAAATTAGTTTCTAAATACCCATGATACCAGTATTTTTTTCTGATAGATGAAAAAATAGGAGTCAATAGTCTTTGATGTTATTTTTTATTCTGACTTTCCATGTTAAATGCATACACATCATCTATAAAACTTGATGAATTCTAAGCACTACAAAAATGTATAACATCAATACATGCTATTTTATACTCATATGTGTACACATGTATATATAAAATAATTTAGAATAGAAGTATACATAAGAACTTTGTATACAACATATAAATTCAATAAATTAGAAAAAAATATAAATGAGGTATAAAACTCTGAAAAGATTGCACATAATGAAATAAAATAGTAGGCTAGTGCAAAAGCAGACCTATGTTTAACCAATCAGATTTCAGCATTAAGTCATGTGACTTACTTAAATGTAAGAAAATTGTGTTCACAACTGAATGATAACAAATTCTACGTAAATCATAAACTAAAATGTAGAGTGCATAATTCAAATTCATGTGAACAATTTGAACTGTCTTCTGGCAGTATGATTAATTACAGTAAACTGTTTAGAATGAATCTTGTTAACACAGCAAACACAAAACATGATGATGATTAGATTTAAATACAAATGACATCATAATGACACAATGCTCATAATATACATGTAAATGTTACAAATGCACAATATTAAATGGAGCACAAACTTTAAGGATATCTTTAACACTATAAAATAATAAATCATAATGCTTAATATTAAATTTTCATTTTCAGCATGAAATTAAAAGTAGCATTTCATTATATTTATGATCATTTTCGTACAAAATATTGCATTGTTCTCTTTAAAACTAAAAAGGTTCAATACTTTGCATTCAGAATAGGATATTTAATAGCAAAATTAAAATGAATATATGAGAATCAATGAAAAATAACTTAATATACTGACTAGACAGAAATGTCTGAAAAAAAGATATGTCTGAAAATGAAGAGATCATAATATCTTTGCATACATGTATCAATAAATACTACATAATTTATGGTCAGAACCACCATGAACTTGTCAGTGTTAAAACATATTTCAGGTACATCAGCGTAAACATGACATTTACACAGGTAATACATTTTTTTCTGCATGCAGCAAGATAACTGAGCAGATTTTACAGAAATAATAAAATTCTCTTACTTTGGAATTACCTAAATGCTGCTTTAAAAAATATTTTAAAAATTCTTTTAAAAAACAACATAACAAGATGAATGGGATGATTATTTCTGACACTTAGTCTCAGTAATACTTTTTTATGTTCTATTACTTCCAAACAAACAACTATAATTATTGAAATCCATTAGTCCAGTCCAATACGAAAATTCGTAATATTACGAAAAAACGTAAGATTACGAAAGACCGTAATATTACAAGTTATCGTAGTATAAAACTTATATTACAATTTTTCATAATGTAGTTAAATTTCGAATACGCATAATATAGCAGATTGTAAGAGACTATATTACGAGTTTTCATAATCCAAGACAAATTCAAGCATTGCAAGAAATTGAGTGGTGGGTAGCAAAGTATGACGTCAGTAATATATCAGATTCCACATCTACTGATAGCACGCGGTCAGTTTGGTCAGTTACGCCTATCAGAAAGCAGGGAAATTCAAGAAGAAAGTACCGCCAGCAATGGGTGAGTGGACAATTTCTTTTATTATTCTTTTATAGGAATTTTCCCAAGGACAAGACCAATTTTCCAGTAAATTTCAATATTCGCTTAAGCATGTCGCATTGGTCTATATCACCCGAACTCCCTACTTTTCTTCCGAAGTATACCCTAAAAATCTCACCCTTGTCTCATAATACAACTTTTCGTGCAACTCTTATTGAAATACACAGAATTCAAATCTCAGTAAGAGTCGTACAAGTTATCGCCCGTGACATCTCGTAGTAAATGTCATACTGTGCTATCCGCCACTCAATTTCTTGCAATGCTTGAATTTGTCTAGGATTACGAAAACTCGTAAATAAATATAGTCTCTACAATCTGCTATATTACGCGTATTCATAATTTAACTACATTACGAAAAATTGTAATATAATTTTTATATTACGATAACTTGTAATATTACGCTTTCTCGTAATCTTACTTTTTTTCGTAATATTACGAATTTTCGTATTGGACTGGACTGTCCATATATTTACTAAATAATTCAAACATGTTTCAGAAGTCCTTACTTATACAGAATGTACATGCCTTTATGTCTGATGTCTTTATAAAAGCATACTACATATAATAAGCACATTCATAACAATATGATAGAAGACATTCTCTTGAAATAATTGGTCATATAGTAAAACTGTGCAATGATGCAACAGTTGCATGGATGAAATTTGAACAATACTTTGGGAAAAATGAAATTATTTGTATTATTTAGATGATCATGATTTTAAAATATTTTTCAGCAGCAGCAAAAAATAAATTCACTGTATAATTCCCAATGCCAGTTATCAATTGAACAAAGTTAAGGGAGTAAATATACTCAAAACAGGAACTTATTGAAAAAAAAAAAGTACATGTAGTTGCATCTCCTTCTAATAGTAATTCCCATTCACTGGAAGCCCTATCAACAGAAAGCAGCTAAGAATGTTCTCCTCAAGTCTCCTATCTATAATGTAGCTCTCTCTTTCTCTCTCTCTCCTCAAAGACCTCTTTCTTGCTCTCTCTCTCTCTCATAAGTATATTAAGATAATATAAATATTATATAGTTTTCTAGAACATTTCAGACTCTTTTTTTTGCTATTGTGACAACTGTATTCAAATAAAGAACACATGTCCAGATCATTAACAACTCTATCCCACCATGTGCACAGAACAGTGTGTCTTTTAATATGTCTCAAACGCAAATAGCTAAGGGTATAAAAAAAATCACATGTATTTTGCCATTTATAGTATAATACTATACTATATCATTCTATAACTCTTATGGAAAATACATTTTTGGCCAAACAATGTAGAAAAAATACTACAAATTTGGTATAATTTGGTCAATATTCCATCTTGTAATGTCAGTGTATAAGCCTAAACAAAAAAAATTATCAGTGCAAAAACTACGTTACTTAGTGTACAAAATACTTAATTTATAAATTATTCTACATGTACATCTTCTAATTTGAAAATGGGCATGATGTATCTGTGGCAAAATCTTTTGGCTCTGATTTGACAATGGAAAGTTGAGGGGGCGGGCTACCCAGGGAGTGGGTGGCCTTAAAAGCTTGATTGACAGGTGAGTCGGTCCCATGTGCAGGAGGCAAGTCCTGTATAATATCAGGAATGTGTATAGGACTCTGGCTCGGGGGAAGAGGAACTTCATCAGGAATGTTCCCATGATGCATTTGTGCATTCCCATAATGCCCTTGAGGCTGAGACAGTCCATTTCCCTGAGGATAGCTTTGATTGCCATAGAAACTGTTAGGAACACCTTGAATACAGTTACTGTTAGACTGAATAGGTGACTGGGACAAACTTAAAGTGTTTCCAGTGCAATTAGGAGAGCCGTTACTATTGAGTCCTTGACTAAGATTTTCCAACATCTGCAGTGGATTGCTTGATTGTGTCTGAGCCTCATTTCCTTGAAGCATTGAATTATTGTAAGCTGGAATGTTGGCAGACCAGTCAGGTGGCTCTTGTTTGACCTGTACTTGTCCGCTCCAAGACGACGACATTGACATAGCATACTGACCACTCATTTGAAAGTTTTGACCTCCTTGATGAAAGGTCATTTGTGAGGACATGGCCATGGCCTGGGTGAAGGTCTGATTAGGGTGGAAGCCCTGCTGTCTGTAAGCTTCGGACTGGAAGTTGCCCTGGAACCCTGGTCCCTGTTGATTGCTTGATGCTATCGCTCCTTGTTGAGACATTTGCTGTGGAGAGTAGTTACCTTGAGAGAACTGGTTACTGTACATCTGGTGTGGGGACATGTTGGCCCTGGTGAAGTTATTCTGAGCACATCCCGACATGTGTCCACCATACTCTTGCGAAGAAAATCCTGGCTCTTGTTTGATGCCCATGAAATTTGGATTGCCAGGGTGACAGATATTTTGCCTGTTTGGTTGAGGGAAGTTTCTCTGGTCCATTTGTTGTGGGGGCATCATGGCCCCTGGTTGGTCACTAAATATTGGAGGGTTGCTCTTGGAGTCTTCATCAACCTGTTCCTTCTTGGGTTCTTTCTTTACAACCTTGAGTTCGACATCAGGAAAACAGACTTCAGAGTCATCTAGTTTCTCTAGATCTCCACGTAAATAGTCACGGAGTTTCTTTAGAGCAGTGTAGAAGGGAACTTTGTCAATGGCCCTGGGAAGTTGTGAACATCTGGCAGAGGAGGACGGCATCACATAGACAAGCTGGAAAAGAAATCAAACAATGAATGTAAACATTCCGCTGGTTAAAAGTAATCAAGAAATGACTGGAAATGTATTGCAGGTTTAATTATAAATGAGCATAATGTTGTCTTCCTTCAAGTTTTATTGCTATGCATACAATTGTCAACGGGGCACATGCAAAGCAATTTGATAAAAAAAAAGTTTTATGCTAATAATAAATTAACAGATGTGCATGAGAACTGTCAATAACAGAGGTCAGATGGGTATATGGTAACTCAAACTGACTTTGGGATACTTTAAACACTTAACTTTTAAAATTAAGGCAAAAATACAAAACACTTACAGTTTCAGTTCCTGTAAAGGCCTCTGGTTGCTTCCCAAAGGCAAAGTTCTTATGGCCAACAAAAACTTCATAAATACCTAAAACAAAATAAAATTTGTGTATATAAGATTTAAAACTTTTGTTCATTGACTTTCTACGGCATATTAAGTTTATCTAGAAGAAGTTTAAATGGGAAAAAAAATCCTGAAACAAATGATAATATTATTCATGTGCTTTCCCACAAATCTTATGATTTTCCTATGGATATTTTCAAAAGAATATCAAGGGAAACTCTTATAATGTAAAATTTGTACAACGTAAACTACGTTTTGTGAAGTATTGCTAGTTTTGAGACTTTCAATTTGTATTTTTCACCAAATGTCACTTACTCTTTTTCATATTTTTTTTTTATTAACTGCTAGAATTCAATCTTAATAACTTAATAAATTAATCCAGACATACCTTTTCCATTAAATACTGCTATCTTTGGTTTGTATTTCTTAATTTTCTCTTGTAATATAAGAGCTCCTTCTTTTATTTCTTTCCTGAAATCAAACAGCAATTTTTTTTAAGTAATGAAAATGGATAACAAAGAGAAATATTTTAATTATTTTCACTGTATTGTTCCAAGAATGTATTTTGAAATTGAATTTTTTTCAAGAGTACAGAAAAAATTCTGAATCTGACATAATACAGGGTTATTTTCGCCCCGTGATATTTTCGCCCTTTCACACTTGCAAACAATTCTGCCCCGTTTTAAATTCGCCCAGTCATAGTTTTGTTTAAGAAATTAAACTATATTAATTGAGTTCACCCTGTTTTAAATTCGCCCATTTGAGGATAGGGCGAAAATAAAACGGGGGCAAAAATTTCCCTGTATACAGTATTATAATATATATTTTGTATATGGTTAGGTTTTTGTTTGCCTTTATAACAATTACCTTGTCAGATCAGCACTTCCTCTTGTTGTCCTGGCTACAATGTTAGTAAACCCGATCCCATACTTCACCAGTTTGTAGTCGTCGTAGGCATTCAACTGCTCCGGGATCAATCCCGATAGGAACAGACACTTCCCTGTAGAGGGTATTAAAAAGGATTGTTTATTTTAAATAGAGTATGTACATAATTATACTCTTATAGAAGATCTGTGAGAAATTCTGGCATTATTGTGATAATAATTATACATGTACTACTTTGTTTTAAAGGGGTTTTTCCCAATACAAATAAATATTAATGAATGTAGACACCAAACCTTATTTTGAATGCAATTTTTCATCAAATCCACCCTATATTAAACATCTTTGTTATGAAAACTGGGTTCTGCTATACTTAATAATAAAGCAATTTAACTTAAAAAAAACTTTAAAATATATGAGAATCCCTTTAACTACTAGATCTCCCCTTAAGATTAACCGAGTTCCAGAAATCACCTACAGAAATGGTTTCCAGGTCCGGCGTAATGATGTCCCACATAGGCCGCACACAATCCCGGGTTAATACCAACCTAAACAGCAATGAAAAGGTAGCATGATTATTAAATAACAAAGTTAATACTCTTTTCATATGAATTATATGATCATGACTTTTATCATCAAAATCTTCCTATAAATGCTATGTTTAAACCAATCAATGTTTGGGGAAAATTAATTTCGCACCAGATTTAATATTAATAGGCAAAGACCTACCTTGAAGATCTAAAGAAACAAACAAATTACATATCTTTAGAATCTTGATTATTTTTTAAAAATATTATTAATCAATAATGTAGTGTACTTAATCTCAGTAAACAAGTCTTTGACAATGACATAATTTTTTGTAGTAGATCTGATTCCCCAGTTTCCAGGGTTTTTATTACAATGACATGTACATGTGGTGCACTAACTTCTATTTAAATTTCATGCAAAGAAATATCAGGGAAAATATAGTATAATAATATCTACATTTTCTGATGTTCTGGTTTCTTATAATGTGTCTATTTTTTGGTTTTGTGCAATGCATCGATATTTTCCAGATTCTTACATTGTGTGTACATTTTCTAGTTTCTTACGATGAGTCTACATTTTATGCATTATATTTTTTACAATGTCTACATTTTCTAGTTTCTTACAATGAATATGTCTACATTTTCCAGTTTCTTACAATGAGTATGTCTACATTTTCTAGTTTTTTTTTTCCCCAATATATCTATATTTTTTAGTTTCTCACAATGAGTATGTCTACATTTTCCAGTTCCTTACTATGAGTATATCCAGATTTTCCTGTAAGTGGTCAGGCAGTTCCCTTTTCATCACTTCATCGTCACTCATGCCATTAAATCTGTCTCGTTTCTTTTTCTTTGTGGGCATGTGATCTGTAATCTTGTCTTGAGTCTCCTCCTTTTTCTTTCTTCCTCTCTTTTTCTTTTGCACACTACACAAAATAAATGATAATGAAATGCCAGCAAACAGGCAGAGGATGTTGTTTTTTTTTTTTAAATACATAAATTGTTTATACCAGTAATTGTTTAGTTCACAATACATTCTAAAGTAATCTAATTAAACATGTTACAATTAGATGATAGATACTCCCTCATACTTGCAACATGTAAAGTTTTTAAAGGCCCTGTATAGTGTATCATATTTCAATACATGTATACATGTCAAGTAAACATAGTACATGTGTATGTATGTCAATTATTCCATGTACAGTGTAACTGTGTATGTATACATTTTGTCTGGTTTACTTAATAGAACAATTAGAATTGTAGATATTTATTATACCCCCCGCTTGAAAAGCGGGAGGGTATATAGTAATCGTTTATTCCGTCCGTCCGTCCGTCCGTCTAGCTGTACGTCCGTCCGTCCTTCCGTCCGTCTGTTACGCTTTGTACTACCCATCTTTTATCCGCAACTCCTCTCATACCACTGAATGAAATTTGATAAATTTTTCACAGAATCTTTATTACATATTGCCATTGTGCACCTCCTATTTTACTTTTTGATCCGACACATATTTTGGGTTTCACGCCCATGGCAAAACATGGACTTTGCCAGTATAGCTATATGGAGGCGGGGGGTATCATTTAGTGAGCTCATCGCTCACAGTACCTCTAGTTTTTAATTATGTTCATGTTTATAATCAATGCCTTACAAGAATTGCTTTAGATTACCAGGTATTTTATCAGTGCACATAAAGATACAGATGTATTCACTCTGCATATCAGATGTTTATAAAGTGTCAATATTAACAACCAATAAAAATATCTGTACTATCAATTTAATACTTCTTGATTTTCAAAACAAACCTTTCCATTGGCTCTTGCTTAATTAATCCAGGATCTGGAACATTGAACCCTGGGGGGTACATCATGGGGCCTGCAGGCCTGATAAAACATAAATACACACATGTTTAGATCCAGTAATAAAAGCCTCAACACATATGTACATGCTGTGAACAAGGCATTGAGGAAACATGTCTCGTTTGTAAATAAGTGATAAAACACTCTTACAACAGTACTGTTACAGTGTTAGGTAATGATAGTATGAGATTATATCTGGCATGTTCCTTTGCATGCTGTTTATAATACACATATGCAGTTCAGCTGGGGAAAGGTAATAAGAAAAGAAAAGTTTTAAAACTTTTGTCTTTTTTTTTTGGATTCAGAAAGACATAAAATAGAACAATCCATGAGCTACTCTTGTAATGCAATAGTTTGTTCACATTTTCAAAATGTATATTTATTAAATGGTATACATAAAATACAAATTGGATTTTACAAGAAATAATAACTATGGACAGAGGTGAAATGATTACTGTGAGCATGTATGTAGATTTAAATTTATTGAAGTTGAAAGCACTATCTTCAGATCTAAACAAAAATAAATAGTTTTCATTAATGTCACTGTTCATTGTGTTCAAATGAAGATACATTTTTTTAAGACCCCATGTTTCATTGTTTATACATTAAAACGTATTTCAGCACTAGCGTTTTCCTTGTTAATCGCCCATTCTCATTTCAACAATCATTAATTATTACAACTGAACACCAAGGCAGTGATTTGCAATTTATCAGCATGAGCATGGATAATAGTAATGTTTGAATTGCAGTATTGTACAACATGTACAAGTATCGTTCAAGTTTGAGTGTAAGCATGGTAAGGTACTGTAATGATAATTTAAAGACATTTATTAAAAAGGAAAAAAGTTTAGAAATCAAGATATGGATAAGGCTGGAACAAAGAGGCTTAGCTGGATATCCAACATAAGATCCAAAACTAGAAATCCAAGTGAAAGTCATGGAGTTTGACTTTGAAAGTCACCATCAGTGTTTCATGATCCCTGTGTTTCATTATAACAAGAATATTGATTAAAAAGACACAAACTTACATATGGCCTGGGTTGGGAGGAAATGCAGGGGATTCCATCATAAACAGATCTGCATTGTTCATTGCTGTGTGCACCACTCACTGTGTAAAAATTAAGTAATACCCGTGTACATCATGTACATTCCCTTACCCATGTCTTCGTATGTTACAAGAACATTTCCTCAGCATCTTATAATGCATATGATAGTTATCAAACATGGATCACAAAAGCAAAACATTCAAATAATTGAAAAATGCATCGGATTTAGACCTTCTGACGATTTGTTTTATACATGTTATCAGGTTGGGCACACACCCCCAAATGGTCATTTAACCCCCGTTTGGTGGTCAATCGCCCATATCAGCGTCTTTTTTACCTACCAAATGGTGGTCTTTTTTATTCAAATCCAATTTTCATTGAAATAAAGCAAAAGCGCATTTACTTAGGCTTTGGGGAATTTTAATTAACATATTCATCGCACATTTAATACAATTCAGTCAATTTTCCATGTGGAATTTCTGTGGAACTTCGTAAAAACGAAACCCTCAGCTGTTAGTGACGGCCGAACTATTAGCTAAAAAAATATTTTGTTGTATATAGTTCGGTAAAAAATACATTTAAGCAAGAGGTGTTTATCTAGAGAAGTAACTTTTCAAAAATCTGCGTGTGTATGAATCTTTATAAAATAAACACGAGCTCCTCGAATCTTATTCGTATGGTGGGCACTTAGTGCTATAATATTCAAATTTGAATGTAACATTTATTCTTTATTTTCTTTTAGGATGAAGTTACGAACCCTTTGTGGTTTAGTATGCATATCTATGTTGTATCTACTATATTTATTAAATATTTTTGAATAAAAGATTTACAAAGTGGCATTTGCAATTATTCCTGTTTTTATTCAAAGATTATGGTTTTCGAGTGATTATTTTAACATGAATTCACTGCATATCGCATTTTTATAAAGAATAAAGCCATTGCTTACGAAATAAACTAAATAAAAGCGAATTCTTACCATTCCTCTTATTTTACTTTTTGAAAATTTACACTCATGGGCCTCCGTAGTTAATTCAGTCTTTTTACCAAAGTTTGGAAAAATGTCATGATCGGTTGCCCGGATGACAGAAATATGAAGTGATCAACACGATTGATGGGCTCAACTACGCGCGAGACGGAGGGAATTTTTCTTTTAAAGTCAAAACAGAGAAAGGTTACATTTGTTTACATAGGTGACGATTTTGTCAATTATTTGAACGACACTGCGCAAAAAAGTCCGCGTTGAAATTTTAATTTTTTTCGTTCAAAGTACAGATAAATATCTATATTTTATTCCCCATGAGTTGAAATTATGCGCCATTTCACGTCATTCCAGAGAACTGAACAGAACGATTTTTCTCTCCCATTTGGTGGTTAATAAAGACGCCGATATGGGCGAATGACCACCAAACGGGGGTTAAATGACCATTTGGCGGTGTGTGCCCAACCTGGTTATACCCCCCTTCCTGGAAATGTGCATGAGAATCTTAATCATGCCTTTATTTGCGTCACGTTTGGGATAATTTAGTGTCCATCGATTAAAAATCATATAGCTCTATGTAAAATTAGCTAATTATATCAAAATAATCTATAATTATGTGGTCCATTTACAAAAAATGAGTGTAAACATTACCTGCAGGTGCTCGACTCGGTGAAGCTTTGTTCTAAGTCTCTTCTTTCATCTGATTGGTTGAATAAGGTCAAGGGTGAATTATTAGCCAATGGCTAACAAGCTATGTTGTCTAAAAATATTGTAGGGAGAGTCCGTAAAGAGTTGTCTTTCCTAGCATCTTTGTTTCTTACACAATTTTTGATTGGATAAAGCACATAAGAACTGGCCTATTAAAAATCGGGTTATAAAACAAAATAAACCAAGATGGCTGCGCCCTTGGAAAAGAGATGATGAAGTCGGTTACACAACAGAGAGCAAAACCATGAAGAAATATCCTTCAGATACACTCTTCATCAATCGAATAATTCAAAAACTTAAAGTCTCAAGTAATAAACTAGGAGAAAAGAAATACTGGATCATTTCCTTCCTTGCAGGAGCTGCATTAGAGTTTTGCATGGTGAAATTAGAAGTAAACGGACATAGTTATTGTACGTATGCCTACTTCAGATATATGAAACAACTGTACCAAAGGTCATTATGTTTCAATGTTAAAAATAAAAGTCTAAATGTTTACTTAAACTGGATTTTTTTTACAAATATAGCATTTTATATCTGTATGAGAACTCGAACCTGTATCCTTTGTGAGCACTGTTTTTTTTTTTTTTTTTTTAACTGAAAGGAGAAAATGTATTGCAGGGCAGGGAATCAAACCCGGGGCCCCTGTCTAGTCCTATGTTTTCTACCGACTTAGCTCCTCAGGCAAATCTCCATGGCTCTAACCATTACGTTCCCCTCTTTGTAACTTGTTTTCACCCTCGAAGACAAAACCCAAGTACTTATGACCCCCTGGCAGGACTTTCACCTGCAATAACAAGGGTACAGTATTGCTAGTCTGGAAATCTATCAATCTAACCTGGGACCCCACATTCCTCTTTTGATCCCTTATACTCCTGGCATTTAAGTCTCTTTCCTGGCAAGTCTTTGTCTGGTCACATTAGTGATGGGACGATTGTCGGTTGTTAGAAGCTCTTCGATGTTACTAATTGATTATAAAATAAATGTCGCCGACATCGCTAACAAAAAATAAAATTGTCACATTTTAATTTTATTACCAAATCCAAGTGCAAAGAGCATAAAAGTAGTGATAAATGTTGAAAACATGGAAGGATTCTGTGTCTTGTTGATACTTTTACCACCATGATTAAATATGGGGTTAGACTAATAATAGGAAACGGTAATATTGCAAGGTTTTATTATACAAAGGAAAACATTATTAGTCTAGTCAATCTTTAAATGTAATTATAATCATAAATACAAGTCTAACTTCTGGATACTTACTTTTAAAATTTGCAATTTTAACTAATTAAAACTAATTTTAAGAAAAAAATACATGTTTTAAATGAAAGGTGGACTAATATCAGTAAAATACCCATTGCATGGACTTTAAAAAAAACAAATAAATTCCCATTCTGTTTCAATAGTCCTTTTATAAAGTAAACAAAATATTATTTTCCACTTTTAAAAAAGAAATTTCAATTAACTTTTTTGAATATTTTATGTTTAAGTAAATGTTTTTTTGTAAAAGTCTGACAGAAATCTGAATAAGTTTTAACTTTATTTCATTAAAGTTCAAAATTTCGATTATAATCGATTATTAATTGATTATGCCCAGTCGATTATTACCGATAATCGATTCTAATTTTTTTCTGATTCCCCATCACTAGGTCACATCTTTATCATGGTAACAAATATAACTGGAGATGAAAAAATGCATACCAGATTCCGATCTAGCCCCCCCCCCCCCTAAAGCTCCAATTAGGTGCTCTCTTAAATTAGCTCTCCAAGGGTCAGTGCGAAACCTGGTCTCGTCTGTCAAATTATTTTGTATTTTTTGTCACCATTTAAATATTTTAATTATTAAAATTAAATGGACAATATTCGGATAATGCTTAAATAACTGCTTAGTTGTTAGATGTTTGGAATTTTGTCCTTGTTGTTACTATGTTTAGATATTTGTTACCAATGTTTATTTTTTTTTTTTTTACATACACCATTTGCGTAACATTGTTCATGTTGTTTGCATTATTGAAATTTGTTACATTGTTTCCAATAAATATTTGCTCAATTGCAGATAAAACTTACACAAAGAGAGAGGCTTTGAAAGAAGCTCAGAAACGATACATAGAAGAACTAGGGCAAAAACGAGTGGCTGAATTACTAAAAACTACCCCCAAAGAGGATCTGGAATCAGTGATCTGAGGTGGAGCTTTTTAAAATGAAGTGTTCAGTTGAAAATTAATTGTGAATTATACATATATTTACAATGTGTGTGTTTTTTTTCCTTCAGTTTATTATTGTAAAGATAATTTTAGTTCTGCGATTTTTGTTATCCTCCCTATTCCAAGAAGGGAGGGCATACTGCATTGCTTCTGTCTGTCAGTCTGTCAGTCCACCAACAGTTTCCGTTCACTTTCTTTGTAGATCAGGTTAAAAATACTGAAATCTAATTTGGTATAAAGGCTGAAAGACCATATTAACCCTTATCCTGCGGTCAAAGTTTTGGCTTATCAGTTCCACTGCTGCGGCGAAAGTTAAATGTAAACAGATATCGCAGTGAATGCATACTTCCTTTACTTATCAGCTTATAGCATCCTTATCTTTGATGCAATCAACACATAAGTTGTGTGTAAAATATGAAGAAAAGAAAGAGCTTTTTATTCATATAAATTTTATTTCTATATTCCTACAATTTATTGCATTTACGTCGATTTATTTTTAACAGTATGGATAATGGATAATAAGTCCGAATAACTATTTAAATGCTATAAATATCAATTATAATGATACATTAAATATCATTATTATACCTTTAGATAGTAGCTTAATTATATTCCTTTTAGTTTATAAACTTATTTCCTTTCTTACAAAGCTCCGGGGACTAAAAGCATGCATATGTAGGTCAGCCATTTTGAAATAAGTACCATCTATTTTGGATGGTGATTATGTGCATGAATCTTTCTGATTGGTGTATATTTTTACAAATTCTAAACCATTGGTTTATATTTATACTTGTTTCATTCATTGACATGGGATGCTCTGCTAAAAATAGCAGGTAAACAAGCATCAGATGAGGAAACCCCTCAAAACGACCTGAGGTCGCGATCCGCAGCAGCAGATCAGATAAGCCAGCGCGACTCAGAGTCGCGATTAGCAGGATAAGGGTTAAACTGAGAATGGACTTAAGTCAAAATATTAGTCCAACATAACTTTTGAAATAATTATGCTAATGAAACAAAATTTTCAAACTATGTTTGAATTTCAATATTATTTTAAAATAGTAATATTTGAAGCAAATTGGTTAACAGAAACTCAAGATATTAAAAATCAAAAGTTTGACAGAAGTTTATTCTCAGTTTATGGTCTTGGGGCCAGATTTACCATAAGAATATCTAGCTCAAGTTTTGTTTAAGGTATTATCGAGCAAATTTTAACAGAGTTATATCCCTTGAACTTAAAAAAAATTCAAATTTTATGCAGTTTCTATTCATTTTCTTTGTTTGAATGTCATTTAAGAGTCTCTTAGAAGGGGGGGGGGCATAAATGTTTCACAAATCCAATATATATCTTGTTGGTTTTGAAATTTAATTAGTATCATGATTATAATGACTCATTATTTCAGGGTTTTTTTTTCAGATATGGGAATGCTTGCTGAATATTTTACAAAGTACAGAGTTACAGTACTTGCCAAGTCCTTCTTCTGGATGTTTGTAGGGAATCAGTGTGTCCACATGTACTACCAACCTCTTAAAGTAAGTCTTCTCAGCCACATTGTATTCACAGGAACTTCAGTATACTGTATGTACATGTATGTAGAGATATTATTGCTTGTTTATTTTTCATTCCTTTCATCCCTTGTTGCTAGTGGATGAATTTAAAATGGGGTGAATTCAAGGAAGAAGGTACAAACTGTATTACATATTAGTTTGCTTTTGTCTAGAATAATTACAAAAAAGTGTTTAAATGGGCAAAAATAACACAGGCCGAAAATAACTCTACATAATATAGTATACAAATTAACAATAATGTATGTGAGGAGATATGACCGTATAATACAAAAATATTTAATTCTCATGAAATATACAAGTTTAATAGTTAGGGTAGCAGTTCTGCCTTCTTGTTCTATGAATTTATAAACTTGTTTAACATTAGATTGACACATATCACTGGTTCATATCATATGTACCTGGTATCTTTGAGAAGCACCAATATTAAGAGCATGTGCAGTATTTCAACTGTCAGAGTTTTATTGACAAGAGTGTTCATCCAACATAAAGCTAACAATGCTCATCTAACAACATTTGTAATCTTTTCTGTCATTCCCCAACCAAATGTAGAGGGTGTTGAATTTTTTCCACCTAGCTTTCATAAAATCATTCTTTTCCTGTAAGATGCTCTGTTTAGGCCTCCCAAAAAATTAATCAAAAGTTTCTCAGGCACTGCCACATTGATTATTTTTTCTTAAACTTTGAAAATTTAAAATAAAAATTAAAATCAAATTTCCTATTTTTCAGAGTTGAAAAAATGAGTTATTCCCCTTATATCAGACGTTTTCATTTATAGATGTACAATATTTCTTGTTAAGAAACAGTGTTTTATGAAATAACTTTTAAACAAATGTTTGGAATAATATTATATGTATAGATGTTTTATGATTAATGTAGAAGAACGTAACAAGAAAGAATCAGTCAATATCATTTTTTTGAAAGACTTACATGGAATTAATAAGCATGAGAGAATACCTGCTCCCAAATAAAAAAAAAAATTAAAAAAAAAATAAAAAGATTTTTAAAAATGCCTCCTGCATGAATTTTGAAACATTTGGCCTGAGAAACTTAAGATTAATTTTTTTTGGCCTTAGTAGGACTGATTTCATAATGGCGGAGAATGATGAAGGCTGGAGTGATGGTAGTGACATCGAGATAGAATACGACGATCACGGAGAAGATTTTGTTCAAATAACTGAACCAGAGACAAATGGTGATGTGGAGTTTTTGGACGAAAAAGATGAAGATGCTGATTTTCTTGGGTATCAAGATAATTGGGTGTCTGAAAATTTCCATCTTCGTCTTGGAAATCCATTTAAGAAACCGGCAGGCGCGACAGTTTTACACCTATCGGAGGCATCTGCTGGGCAGTATTTGGAACTCTTTTGGACTGACGAATTGTTTGAAAAGTTAGTGCAAGAAACTAACAATTATGCGAGTCAAGAGCTAGGAAAACCATCTGCTGTCAAAGGACGCCCTTGGAGACCTGTCGAAATAAATGAGATGAAAGTATTTATTGCACTCTGTTTTTCTATGGGGATTTTGAGACTTCCAGATAAATCTGATTATTGGAGGCAGACCAAGTGGCTATTTTCGACAAACTTCAACCGAGTGATGTCCAGAGACAGATTTTTTCAACTTTGGAGGTTTTTACATATCCAAAACAATGAAGTTAAGCCAGAAACACCCGATAAACTGTGGAAGATTCGTTGGATTTTAGATTTCTTGAATACAAAATTTACAGAACTATATGTGCCCCATGGAAATGCAACTGTGGATGATTATTGGATTAAATTCAAGGGAAAATTATCCTTTTGGCAGAACTCATCAAAAAGGCCTAAAAAAAGGGGGGTGAAAATTTATGCGCTGGCTGAAAGTGAAACTGGCTACATGAGTAGATTCAAAATTTACACTGGAAAGGAAAGCAGCCATGCTCACACAGTTGTGATGGACCTGTGTCAGCATTATTTTGGTTCCAACTTGTGTATCTACATGGACAACTTTTACACAAGTCCGAAGCTCCTGATGGACCTCCATTCCCAAGGAATCATGGCTTGTGGAGCTGTAAAGTGGAAAAAGAAGGGACTTCCACAAGATCTGCTTCCCAGCAAAGTCAACCTTGAGAAACACGAATTTAAGGTGGCACAGAAGGATAACTTGACATATTGTGTTTGGCAAGACATGAAACCGGTGACTGTCATTTCCAACTTCCATGATCCACTTGACAGGGGTAAGGTATCCAGACTCTCAGCCGAAAGTGGGGATGTGGTGGTGCCTTTGATGGTGGCGGACCACCAGAAAAATATGAAAGGGGTGGATCTTTGTGACCAAATGGTGGGATATTACCTGCTGAACCACAGGTCCAAGAAATGGTGGCGCTGCATATTTTTTCACCTGATGATAGCCTCAGCCCACAACGCGTACATCGTTGCCAAGGACACTCAGCCTGAAAATGCCCAAGAAAAATGGCCAGGTTTCCAAGACTTCCTAGAGGACGTTGTGGAAGACCTCATTGGGGACTCAAGGTCAAGGAGGGAACCGCCAAAAGTGGACCGCGGGGGCATGACTACCGCTCATGATATTGTTAAGTTGTTTCCTAAGAAGAAAACATGTCGCGAGTGTGTCCTCTCCCGACCCCAGGGTGAGAGGAAAGGTGTCACCAAATTCGGTTGTAAACAATGCGACATACCAGTACACTTAGAGTGCAGCTCAAAGCACTTCAAGAGAAAGATGAATGTAGAATAGAAATGTATATCATGAATTTATGTGTTTTAATTCTTTTGGGATATTTCCATAGATTCCTTACATAACATATTCATAATTGTCTTTAATATATACATGTATATATAGTTTATGTAAACCAATGAAAAGTAATTTTTGGATAATGGATATATTAATATATTATAAAAATATAGATTTAAAAGTTGATATAAATATTAAATTTTCAACAAAAAGCACCTGCAATTTACCCCTAAAAAGTCTTCTTAAACTGAAGGTAATGTCACAGTTTTGTTTAACAGAGATCATTTGTTGGCCACTTAAATGGCAAAATTTAAAGAAAATGCAAGTAAAAGTTTTAAATAAATTTATCTACTAAGGCGCTAAATGAAATGTCAAGAATGCTAGAGTTGATTTCAAATATAGTAATTCATTTTGAGTTTCAATTTGTTTGATTTAAGATCTAAGGGCAGATAACTCTAAGACTAGCTAAAAAAAAAAAGCAGCAGTACAGTGTATAGAGGCACACAGATTCTTGATTTGAATTTATTTTTATGGAATCTACTCTGAATTACTTCCATTGATTGATTATACATGTTTATTGACTTATGTATATAATTTTTTTAATGTCAGATCTGTAGATTTAGATGTAGGTTGCCGTAAATATCAGAATGGAGCCTTCATGTATATTTCATGTCAATGGGGTTTTAAAATTTAATTAAGCTTGCCATATACATGTATATATTATATATATTCCCAACATCTCATGATAATGTGTTGACAATCATGGTCAGTGTGTATGTATGTTTATAACATCTAGCTCTGTTCACCATGTTCTATTGTATATAATAATTCGTACATTATATCATGTTGTATAGATATTTTCTATATTTTCTGTATCTCTGAAACTACTGCACGTGTATTCTCTGATACTTGATTGTACAATAATATTTACAATATTGATTGGGATGTATATAATTATGTAGCATTGATTGGAATATCTCTCGATGTAATATCCATTTTTTATTCAATAAATAGAGAATGCTGCTATTAGTCCTACTTTGTTTGAGCAAATTTTACCCAAGGACTTCAAAGTAAAGGCAGATAATTAATAAGTTATGCAAGGGAGAGAATATTTAGTGTTGCATGAATTCCAGTGGGGCATATAATGTTTGTCATGTCCATCTTCCATCCTTCCATGTGTCCTTTCTCAAACAGAATATTCTGAGAGCTATTTAAGTCATCAACAGATGTTGACCTTGATTTTTTCTTTGACCTTGATTTCACTTTTTTTAAAGTTGCATTTAGATAAGTTGAAAATAAATTATCCAAGATATTTTTATCAAACTTAACTTTATATTCACTTACATTCTGATGAAAACCATTTTATTTCATCATTTTATTTTACCTATTCTTTGACTTTGACTTCTCTTTCTTGATTTAGTGATTATCTCAACTTCTTACAAACAGAAGATTCTCAACTTCTTAGAAACAGAAGATATTTTTTTATCAAACATTATACAAATGTATCAGAGCTCTTCAACTGCATCAAAATCAGCAATTTCTCCTTGGCCTTTCCTTTTAGCTTGACCTTAGAAGTATAGCTAGCAAGCTCATTATCAAAGAAACTACATGTACTGCTAACAGTAAAAATTGCCCATTCTAGATGTGCCTAATACAATATAAAATTTAGTCCTTTTCAGTAAATTCCTTTGTTTTGAATGTTGCATTATTTGGAATGCTGTTTAATCTGGCCATTTTTATTTTTTTAACAAACAGAATGTGGTGTCTTTATTAAAGATATATAGGTTTAACTGTATTTTATACTTTTAATTAAATCTAAGATCCTGATTGAATAGGTGAGAGAGTACTATTCAACTGCATCATCATTTAGAACTTTGATCTCTTCCTTTTTACCTTGACCTAAAATTTGTGTTTTGCTTAATTTCAATGAGTGTGTAAATCTAGATATTTTTATCAAATCTTATAAATTAAATTATTAATTTGCAAATTGTTCCTTTTACCATGAACTTTCCTTTAACCCTGATATAAGTTTAACTTAATTTTATAGAAAGTATATATTCAAGGTATTTTTATCAAACTTTATATACCATAAATCTGGAAATTTTTGTTGTAGATTCCACCATAATAAAATGTAAGCACAGTGGTCATTCGCAAAATTTTGAAACGTAAAAATTAATCAACAGCTTTTTGAACCAGATTTGCAAAAAAAATTGACGTAAAAATTTCCAGATTTACGGTACATATTGATGAAAGTTATTCTAATGCTTCCAGGTACATGTACTTGTAATATATTTATAGATACTGGTAAATTAACTTAATGAATATAAACAATATTCCTAAATTAATTATTAATATTAATTGAAGGTGTAGGTGTCTGTTTATTCCCCATATCACTGAATTATAGTCCATACCGTAAATCTGGAAATTTTTGCTGTAGATAAATTTTTAGCAAATTTGCGAGTTCATATCATTGGCAAAAATATTTTTCTTAAAAATAATTCAACAATTAGGAAAATGTAAACAAAGTAGTGGTCATTCGCAAAATTTTGAAACGTAAATATTTATCAACAGCATTTTGACCCAGATTTGCAAAATAAAATTGACGTAAAAATTTCCAAATTTACGGTAATAAAATGGTTGCAGTAAGAAAATGCACTCAATGGTGTGAAAGTTTGTTTGAAATTGATCTCAAATCAAGTCTTTTTTTTCAGCATTTTGAAGATGAGGTTCAAAAACAGCTTGAGATAATAAGACAGCAGGCTGAGGAAGAAGAAAAAGCAAGTGCCAGCTCTGAACAGACATCTTGATTGTGTGGTGGTGATACACCTGTAGTGCTAACCACTCCCTGAGATACAGACTAGTTTTGATAATTTATATTTTGCATGTTTTGTGTGAAAGTGCATGGGTTTTGTCACCAATTTGAAATAAATGGAGCATGTATTTAACATATATTTTGTTTTTTGTTTTAAGCCTGGTAAAAGAATGACCACTTATAAAATGTTTTGGGAGCAGGATAACATTTTGAGAAGGTAAAAGTTATAATGAACGTTTTTCTTAGCAATTCCTAAGGAAGTAACCTTAACATAAATTAATCAAGATGCAACTGAAAGAAATTGGCTGGATTGTTTGTTTGTCCTTTAACTTCCCTAAGCCTCTCAAGAATTTTTCACTCAATATGGAGACGCCACCACTTACCGGTGGAGAACTATCCTTTACCCAGCTCTTGGGACCATTGAGCAGTGCCAGTACATACTGCAACACAGAACCTCAGTTAATACAGTCTCATCCGAAAGACCGTTCTCCATGTCCAACAGTGGGATTCAAACCTGCAATGTAAGGATCAACGCCTTACTTCCTAAAGCTGATATTCTAATTAACCACTGCACCACGCGGTGACTATTGGCTGGATCAGATACTAGTAACCTTTCTGATTAGCTAACAATTTAAAAATTCAAAATGAATTTACTGAACATGCTGAGGAGGACTTTAAGCACTGAACATCATAATAGACAAAATATTGGATTATACAACATTTGGATGAAACAAGTTTCACTGTATTGAGAAAACTTGCTTTGTAGCCATCAAATATGGTGCACTGGTACCCTCTAAGTGGGAAGTTACCCCTTTTACTACTGAGATCTGTACGAGATCTAATATGTTGCTTGCCCATAAGTAGTAGATGACAAATTTTTCTCAGTTTAATTACAAATATTTCCATTTCTAATTTTTTTCTCTGTGAGTTAGGGGTAGTTTATTTCTTGACAATTCTGCCGGAATGTAAATTAGGCAGGTCGATAGGTCGGGAGCTAAGGAGGCCTAATACGCATGCAATTCTCATGCGCATCTATCTCTGTGTCTGACGCTAAGGAGGCCAAATATGTATGTAAATCTCGTGCGGCTGCCTTTGTGTTTGACGTCAGTTGGTGAGGACTATTGAAATTGGCATGGAAGTCATTATGTGATTTAAATCTAATTTTCTACATTTTTAAAGTCTAAATCTACAATTTTATTTCACAATGAAATGGAAATATAAGGAATCACTGTCTAGTTAGGAGGGTATGTCAGGGACATCAACAATAGTGGGAAACATGGGATAATTTAAGCATAACAGGCTTCACCCGTTATGCAAATTATCCCATGTTTCCCACTATTGTTGATGTCCTGACATACCCTCCTAACTAGACAGTGATTCTTTAATTACGGATGTGGCACAGTGGTAAGAGCGTCTGCTGTAAAGTCATGAAGTAAGGTGTTGATCCTTACATCGTGGGTTCAAATCCCACTGTGGGACGTGGAGACTTGTCCTTCGGACGAGACAGTATAAACCGAGCTTCTGTGCTGCAGTAGGTACTGGCACAAAAAAGATCCCTTACTTATTAATGGTCCCAAGTGCCAAGGGTAAGACAAAATTTGCAGCTCTTCCTAAGTGGTGGCTTCTTCATATGAGTGAAAAATTTTCGAGAGGGATGTTAAACATACAAACAATAAGTCAATCACTTTTATTACATATATAATGGCATTGTACAGTTGTGTCCTTTGTAACATTGCCACATGAGACAGATATCCTTGGCCCTAGGGATATAAAATTGTTTATGAAACCCATAATTTTCATTCCCTCTCCCCATATATGTCAAATACTGGTGAAAATTATTTCCAACAATATCAGAGAAGGTGAAATGTTCCATAATTTTACACAAGGTGACTGAATCAGACAATATAGTTTCTATAGCAAAAGGTCATATGTGAGACGGGTGACCTTGTAATAAATTAATAAATAGAGACAAAGTCAAACAACATGTATGATATAACACATGGCAGACAATTTTTAAAATTTCTCCTCAGTTTAGATGTTGCTTCCCTTTTCCTGAGATGTGAAAAGAAAAATAAGTAGATTATTCAAAGTCAGTTTTTTATATAATTCAGTATGTATTATAATACATGCATATGGATACAAGATTTGTACATGTATAAATTGTACATGCAAAACACATGAATTTCAAATAAAATATCCGAGTCTTATTGTCGTTACAAGTCAGTTTATTAAAGCTATTAAGTGCAGAGTCCTACACAGAGGCAACATTTAAGGAAATTCAATTAATTAAGATATAAAGACATCCAATTTAAAGAAAGGATAATTTTCTAATTCAGTCTCAGACTTATGCATGAACATACATATTAATTATATATTCATAAATGTGATAAGTAAACATTTTTTCAGCACATACAAATGCATATTCACATGAAGGAAGGCACTTGTAACTGCAGTATTTTTTTTGTATTTATTAAAAGACAACAAAACATCATTTCATGTTTTGACATATGGAAAAGCCTTTATAGGTGTACTGCTCTCTTTCTGTATAATTATACTACTATACATCTTCGCTAGCCAAGTGTCCGGGGGAGATGAGGGAAACGAATCGGACACTTGGCTAGCAAAGATGAATACTATACAGCTTAAAACATTTTTTTAAATATCTGCGTGGCCTAGCTTCATGTGTGCAAACTGTGCAGGATTACTTTTAAAAATCTGAGCAGTTTGATTGAAAAAAAGCATACAAAAATCCAACAATAAAGCATTAAAATTTGTAAAAAACACAAATTGCATGCTCAGTAAATTATGGAAATCCTTCAACTTTCTTTCCATTTAAATGTCAGATTATATTGAAATATTAAACAACAAAATAAATATTTTTTTATGATGGCATAGTAGCTACTTGTATTAATGAAATAAAACAATAAAAGCTCTCCCTCCTATTTTTCTTCTATTTTATTTTAATAACTTTTGCTGTATTAATTATATATTTCCTACCTAATTAACAGCTGCCATTCTTAAAACAAGGCGAAAAAATAAAAAAAAAAATCTTCATTCATAAATTTGTCAATATTTTAAAATACTTTTTTCATGTTTTTAAAAAGTTTAAAACATCTATCATAATGATACACAAAGATTAACTAGCGCTCCAGTGTATTTATAGAGGAATCTGATGTTAGTACTGAAGTCTAATAAATAACACTAATTTACCTCACATTGGTGTTATTCATGCACATAGTACTCTGAGAGTTAAATCATATGAATATGAAATCAGTCCAGCTGGAATCAATTTCCTTATCTTCTGCGTATAAATATACTTAGCCATTATGCTTGAAACACTGAGCAATCTGAATCGACAGTGTACATGAGCAAAACAAATCTCATCGCCATCTACATGTACATTAAAAACTGAAGAGTCACACAAGGGATGTAACTCTACAGCTAGCAATAGTTGTTAGCACAGGAGTCAGAAGTTTTTATCGTCAAAAAAAAATCTTGAAAAAACTAATTCCCACTCTCTAGTTGACTCCTGTGTTGTGAGAGAACATATTGTGACATATAATACATGTAATTTTCTATTTGAAAAAATTACGACAATGTCCTGTTTTTCCTGTGATTGCTGGAAACAATTATTTTATGATTGAACTATGTGGAACATACTACGCATTATAGGCATGAGTTGTGCACTCAGATCATTGCTACTCAAAATTAAAATTTTTGTACAGGTTACCCCACTGATGTGTGTTAAAAATTAAAACAATATTAGTGCAACAATTACACCAATTATTATAGTTTGATAGGGGAAGTTTATCAATACCGTAGACATACTTTTTTCCATGGAGTCATAATTCTGCAAAATTTCAATTTCTGTTTAATCCACGGGTTGAAAATTGCGCGGATTTCTTAGACTATCACTTTATGCCTCATATTTATATTAAGTACGCCTGGACAAATTTCCGCAGAAAATTTGTGACCGAGTACATAGCGTAAATTAATACCACACGGAAAAAAGTACTTCTACAGTATTTAGATCTACATAGTTACCTAAAATAGCTTAAGTGAACTAACATAATGTTATTGAAATATAGCAATAACTTTTTTCAAACATGTACACTCTTTAATATGCGTATTTGAAATGCGGAATAAATCACCAGTAGGGTTATTCTGCAATATGAATCTTTCAGCATTAAGTATAAAATGAAATGGAATACATTGGTTTTCATTTACAACATTTAAATTATTTTTAGTAAGAACATGTATCACCTTTAACACTTCAATTTCATTTTTCTATATACACATTGTTGTAATGCTGTAATGAAAAATTAGAATACACATTCTAAGAAATTAATATAACTAAAGTCACAAATTATGCAAATGTAAAAACAAATCTAAATACATGTTTATGTCTTTCTTAATTAAAAAAAAAGATAAAGGATAAAAATCCATCAAATTTTATCAATGAAATGTAAATATAGAATCATTCTCCATCAGTATATTTTTTTCTGCCACTTGCGGCTAAAGTGGAGTCTATTTTTAGCTGCCTAACCTAGTCTGTTTGGAATTTACAAATTCAAGTGGGATTAGGGGAATGGATAGGAAATATTGAGCACTGTTGACAATTTTAATACATTATGTAGTTAAACATGAACAGTTTTATAGCGGTAACATTCACATATTTTAAAAGTTTCCTTATCACTCTATGATGCTTCAAACATTCCCATGCATCTGTCAGACTTTTTTTGGTTTCTTTAATCTATTAGTGAAACCCAGCTAACAAGGATATTCTTTGGTTTAAATAACATCAGAATGGTGATACAGTAAAAGTTGTTTAGTACGAACACAGAATGATATGAATTCACAGATATAGGGAAATTGAGTTTTTTTTTTCATCCAAAACTACCGGTGCATAAAGATAACATCTTTCTTATACAGATATAATGAATTACTGATATAGCAAAGTAATTTCCCAGGTCTCAGTGACTTCATTATAACTGAGTTTTACTGTATCATTCTTCACATTCTGTAAGTATACTTCAAAATGAGGGCTTCATATTTAAGCAGCTTTGGTGCATAATGATTGCTAATTCATGAAAACTGCTAGTAATGGAGAAAAACTGCTACTTAACCCACGCA